GTAATTTTGATTGTGGAGAGTTGGCAAGCCTGTGACCAGCAGCTCTTCATGCCAGGTTGGTTTCTTCAAGGTTGGTAGTTCAGGACTCGGATTACATAAGATTTGGGGTTCGCCAGAATCTTGCACCGTTTTTTTTGCTGCTTGCTGCAGCCTATGAAGGAGAATGTGATTGCTCGATGTTGCTTGGGTTTGTGAGAACTTGGGTGCAGACAGCCGCCCGAACCGCCTTGTTCGCAGGGTGGTGCCGGCGGTGACTACAAGCAGTACATGGACTACTCCAAGTACACTCAGGGTCAGGGTGCCCAGGGCGGAGGAGCTTCAGATTACAAGAAGTACATGGACTATTCCAAGTACACTGAGGGCGCGAAGGCGAGTAATGCTGATGCAAAATCCGAAAGCCCTGCCCTGCTGGCAGCTGCTACATCTTCCGATGAGGGGTCGTTCGTCCGGGACTACAAAAACTACATGCAGCAGCGTGGCAAGAATGTCTCCGCGGGTTTCGAGAAGTACATGAAAACCCATGCTGGGGAGTTCAAGCACTACGTGCAATCCCGTGGTGCTGAAGCAGCAGGTGACTTCAATGACTACTTCAAGAACTACAAGAGCTTCTTCCAGAACGAAGGCAAAGATGCAGCCGGTGATTTCCAAAAGTTTGTCGACGAGTATGCTAGCGACTATGCGAAATACTTGAAGGCCTGATCAGCCTGAATGTCTTACTTTGTACTTGATTGGGTATCTGTCTTGAAGCTTCCCCCCCATGCGCGGCCCTAGCTACAAACTTTGAAATTCGTGTGGGACCTTGGCCCTTGGCACCTTCCTCAGCCTGTACACTCTGTCGAGTTGTCTGCCATCGAGTCCTGCAGGAACGAGGCGCCAACGCCGCAACTGACTACAAGAAGTACCAGACACGGTACCAGGCAAACTGCAGGGGCGCTGTTTGTGCTGCCCGATTGTAGTTCTCGCAGCGCAGTTTGTAGGAGGGTGGGGCAGCTGTGGCCGCATCGCGGCATTATTTGTTCCGCGAGCCTCCACAGTGTCAGCCGCTGCTGGCTGCCCCTCAAGCATGTCCCTGGGATAAGCAATCGTAAAGTAGTCCACTGTCAATGCAGATGAGGTCCTTGCTGCTGGTGGTGACCAGAGTGCCGCTCCTGATCAACAGAGCGCCGAAGAGAAGAAGGAAAACAAGGAGCGACTTCTTAGCAGTCGGAGAGGAAGCTTGGGTTGTTTTGGTGCTTTTGGCAGGAGAGAGAAGAGGAGAAGCAGAGGCTGCACGAGGAGCTGCGCTCGGAGCACGAGCGCCTGAGGAAGGAGCTGCAGGCAGAGAAGGAGCGCAAACTGACCGAAACTTCAAAGCAGTCCACCGATGCCGCCCCGAAGCGGTCCAAATCTGAATCCTGTTAGGAGCACCTCCGCGAGGAGCTCGCAGAAGAGGCTTGAACACTCCTTGTGCATCGGAAAAAAACGGTGCAGGAGGAGCGAAGGGATTTCTTGTCTGCCAGGCGAAGGCGGCGAAGGAGCACCAGCAGAGCCCCAAGGTCGGCCCCTGAGATCTTCCTTTATCTTGCCCGCAGCCTTCCCAGAGCCATCTGTCAGTCTGGAGCGGCGCCGGCGATGCTGCTGCAGAAGGCCCGAGGAAGCTGATTGCTGAATCATGGCAGACTTCGCGAGGATGACTGAAGTATGAGAGAGCTTGTCGACATGCCCACGAAGTCATTGCTCAGTGAACATTTCCAGATCGTGTGTCTGAAAGCCCCTATGTTCCAGTCTGGGGAGTGGCCAGGTCGCCACCTACTGGTTCTTCACTCCGCTGCCTCTGGGTGGCAAGGGCACTGGAGGGGATGCACATCAAAGATGCCCAGCTGGACCAGCTAAATGGGTTAGATTACATTACACCACAGGCTCGCGGTCGTGGCCGGTGCCGGGGCCGTCTTCGCTTTCTTGCGGCGACAGGCGGCCGGCGAAATTCAGTCGGCATACACATTTGTCCTAAGAAGTGTGAGCATGGCCTGCTGCGAGCCTGGCATCTGTGCAAGCGTCCAAAGCACAAAATGACATTGAGCTTCCTCCGTTTCGAAGTCAGAGCTGTTGTGGAAGCATGTGTGCAGGCTCAGCGCCAGCGATCTGTCGTGGACGACTATGTGCTGGGCTGAGATCACATGTGTTCTGAGCACTCCTTGACATGCACTATAAACGGCATGGTGTTATAAGCTCCGACATGCGAATTTACACTACTTAGTACGATTCTCAATAACAAATTAAATAAAAGCTATTGCCTATTGCTGTGCCAGAGTTACTTCATGACGAATACCATTACCAACACTGGTAGTTTTACTACTGCCATACTCCAATTAAGGCTACCGCTACTGCTACGTGCTGCTGCTGCTGCTGCTGCTGCTGCTCGTACTACGACGACTACCACTAACTACTACTGTACTACTGCTTCTTCTACAATTACTGCTACGGCCACACCACTACTACTGCTGCTGCTGCTACTACTACTACTACTACTACTACTACTCGTACCATCACTAGACGACTACCACGACGACTGTTGCTGTTACCATCACATCTTTTGGCGGCAAATTTTCGGTTGTTTCAGATTGGGCGATCATGTTAAGCTGCCCAGGTGATGCACGAGGATGCCCCTCTTGCTGCTGTGCACCTTCGATGCATTTGCGTTACATTAGCGATCCCACTATGAAGGGTCTATGTTATGATGACTTATTCTTCTGAGACTATCGTAGCTTCTGGCATTGGTTTTTCTGCTCGTTCTGGGCAACGGCTAAATCCTCGGCAGGTAAACGCGGTGCGCTCGAAGAGTTCCATCGCAGAGTGTCTTCTTGGCCTGCACTGGCTGAGAGAAGGCGGGCAGATGGCATCGGCATCGTCAGCTTTCTGAAAGCCTTCGCTTGCGGTTGACTGACCCCTTTTCCCCGGCTTGCAGCCTGCCCAACTCGCACATGTTTTCTTTCAACTTTTGAAGTGGCCGTCAAGTTTCCCAGGATTCGTTGGATTCGGCACAAGACTCACACATTATGACACACTCATCCAGTTGCCTTTTGCACAAGGCGTTTGGCGTTTATCTAAAGCTCAATATTTAGAAGAGCCTGGATCTCCGAAAACCAAGGAGCTTGATCCTTGGCCATCTGATATTTGTAAAATACAATCCAAGCATCTTGGGATCGCCGCCAAGTCAACCATGTGCTACTTCCTCGCAGAGAAGGCGAGGAAAATTCGCAATATGCAGACGCCGTGGCTTCCGCAGCGACTCCTCCAGCTCATCGCGGCAAGAGCTAGCCTGCAAGGTGCATCCGACAGCGCGCAGAAGCCACGGCACCCCCGGTAAGCTGTCTTGAACTGCAGTGACCAACAGCCGAAACAATCAAAGCAAAGAACGGCAAATCTGAGCCGATGGGTCGCACATGAACCATGCAGCTTTATACAATCATCGGCTGCAAAACAATAGCAGCGACGATAGCAATCAAGACCACGAAGAATTAGTCGCAATGGTTCAGCGTTTGCACTTCCGTGCGACGCTCCTCCTCCTGCTACGGCTGCTACTACTACCGCCACTACTGCTATCACCACCACTCAACCACGACTGCCACCACCACACCGCAACCTCGACCATTGCTACGACTACTACTACTGCTGCTGCTGCTGCTACTACTACTACTACTGCTACCACCCAGAATTCGCAG